TGGGAGCAGCAGGGTCAAATGATCTCATTCCACTTCTTCCCTCTGGCCTTCCCACCGTTTTTGTTTTCTGGGGTGGGCTGAGGGCAGTGTGAGGCAGGTGAGGAACCCTTGGCTTTGCAGGATGCACTTGGGATCTAAATCCTGCTCCTTAGCTCCCAGTGACTGGGGGGATTCCCTTCCAGGGGTTCCCAGGAAGCCCTGGATAAAGAAAAGTTTTGTTTTCTGCTCCCACTTTTCTTCCTCGGAAATCCTTCCCTGCCCTTTGAAAGAGATGAGACAGAATGGAAATTTGGAGCTGGGCCTTTTAGTGATCTCCCATGTGACCTGTTTTTTTATTAGATCTTTGGAGAGCCCCTGTTCCCTCCAGTGCTGTGCAGGAATTTAAGCCTAGGCTGTGCTGATGCTGGGATACCATTGGAATAGTGAGGGGCCCAGACTTCTGTGCTTTGGGGGTCTTTGTCTCCCCACTCCCTGCTATGGAAAGGGGGTAAAAGGAGGGGCTGCAGCAAGTGTTGCTGTCTTAAGGCCCAGACAGTGACAGCACCTCACAGCTGAGAACTCCCAGGAGCCTTCCTGTCCTGCTGTCAGTCAGGCAGCGCTCCCGTGTCACGGGTGCCATGGAGGGAAATGATCCCTGTGTTCCCAGCTCTGGCTGGAAATGGAATGATCCACGCTGTGTGACAAGCCATTTTCAAATGGGATGGGCCCTAAAGGCCAGTTACTTGGGATTTGGGAACTGCTGCAGTGGAGCAAAGTGTGAGGTTGTGCTGGAGCCCCAGGCTTGGCTGGGACCCAGAGTGCAGTTTGTGATTTAGGAGCGGGAAGGGAAGCAAGGACCGGTTGGAGTTCTGGAGCCTGTGCAGCCTCACGCTGTGCTGCAGTAGGAGCAGGGTCTGCAGTGTTCCCTGGGACACAGCCCTCCTTCTCCTCCAGCCTGGTGGTCCTGTGCCTTGTGCAGGTGCTGCTCCTCCACATCCCGCATCCCTTGTGGCGGCGACCGGCTCCAGGCAGGACTCTGCCCCTCTCCACCGGAGACTGCCCTGGAAGCAGCTCTTGCTCTCCATCACACAGTGCCCTAGAAGCAGCTTTTGCTCGGGGCACAGCTGCCTTGTCTGGGGAACAGCCTTTTGAAGAGCAGGAGTGACCCCATGGCACAGCTCGTGCTGCCGTGGCCGCGCCTGACAAGGCGAGGAGAACAGAGGCAGCCAAGGAAATCACTCCCGCTCTCTGACTGAGTGAAAAAACACCTGTAGGGCTGGAAACCCTTCCAGCAGGGGAGCAGCCACCTTCCCTTCCCCCTCCCCAGCTCGCAGTGTGCGCTCCAGAGATCAAAAGAGAGCCCTATCTCGGTGGAAACGGGGCCACGCCGCTGTCAAACAGAGCAGAACGTTCTCGCGTCTAATATGGAAATGGGAGCGGTATCAGAGGCTGGGAGCGAGGGCTGTGCTGGCAGGTCACGGAGGAAGCTTTCTCCTCTCCCCAGGAGACAATTCCCCAAGTGAAACCCTCGCTCTCCCGCGGCAGCAGCGCGTCTGGAGATCTGCTCCCCCCGTACCCCGAGACGCGAAACAAAAACCGAGGAGGGAAAAACCAGCAAAGAGCGTTTTTGGTTCCCGTTTGAGCCGCTGAAAAATAAATCTGGTAGGAGCCTCGTCGTTTGGGAAGGTTGGAAGCCGGGCTGGACGAAGTGCTGGAAAACACACGTAGGGAACAATATTGTGCTCACCCCCTGGGGCGGGCGATGAGCTCATACGCTGCTCCCTCTGCCATTCTCTTCTCTTTGCTATTGTGGATCATTTAAAACAAAACAAAGTCTTGCTGCGTCTTTGGGTGATGAACTAGAACTGGAGCTGGACTGCAGCTGAGCAATTCAGATCCAGCCTCTGTCAGTTTGTCCCTCTCCTTTGGAGGGGAACATCCATGTGTTGGTGGCTTTGGCAGCTGTCCAAATAGGCCAAATGAAGGAACAAGGTTTGGCCCTGTTCTTGCTAAAAACTTCACTGCCCCCCTCCACCCCCCAAACCCAGATTGCTGAGTGTGGTGGGAGTGGGCACAGCCTCCCCCTGCCCTGGCAAGAGAAGACCCTAAAGCTGCTGACCAAGACCTGGCCTTGAGTTTGCAGTGAGACGCATTTGCAGCAGGTTCCTCGAGCTTTGACTGGGGTTGGATAAAGGGAACCTTGGCCTGTCATGGGTTTGTAGCAAAGGAGAAGGGCTGGATAGGCTGGGTGCTCGTGTTTTGCCTGGAATTGCTTGGAGAGGATGGACCTTACGGAATCCTGTGGGAAGGTTGTGCAGCAGTGACACGTCCTTTGGGCTGTGTCCTCCAGGAGCTTCCCGTGGCTGTGCCATCAGCGGTGGCAGAGGTGGGCTCCCCTTGGCTCGGGTGAACAGGAGGGGGCTGGCAGAGAGCATGAGGGCCCAGCAGATGCTGCCTTGGCTCTGCCTTCCCCTGGCCCTGCCAGAGTCCATTTCACACCTGGCGGCTGGAGGAGATTTGGCGAGATCAGTCTCCCGCATTACCCCTGGTAATGACAAAAGCAGACAGCAAAGCTTCAGCAAAGCTGGAATTACTGCTGGCTGAGTCATGTGAAATCTTCCAAGTTTTAAGTGTGGAAATCCAGCCTTTCCCTGGGCTCCTCCTTCCTCTCAGCCTTCCCTTGCCACCCCCATTCTCCCTCCCCTCCTTGCACCTGAAATCTGCTCTGCGGCTGATCCGATAGAGTTTATGGTAATTAAGTGTTATTAAATCCCCTCCCCCCCTCCCTTTTCTTCCTCTAATGACACAGCTGTGGGGGAAAAAAAAAATCAGTGTTTTTCTAAATCAGGTCTGTGGCATGTGGCTTTGCTCCTTAGACCTTTGGTTAAGAGCATCAGAAGGGAACTGAAACCTTGTGCTTCTGCATCCCTGGGGGAGGTGGCAGGAGCAGTGAGAGAGCAGAGGAGGATGTGGGAATGTGGCCCCTGGGAGTGACTTGGAGGGAAGGGGACCTGGAAGGGAATTCTGCCCACCACTCCCCTGCTTCTACCAGGGGTGTCCTGCAGGTTTGGGTGCTGGAGGAGGGAGTGGGAGGGAGCAAGTATGGCTTGGCTGTTGTCCAGGGCAGCCTCTCATTTTGGGGTCTGGCTTCTAGGGGTGAGGCACATAGGGAACCCAGCTCCTCATCTCAGCAAGCCTGAAGCAGCCTCTGACCCTGTGATTGCACAGGAAGCCAGTGGTCCCTGAGGTGCAGATGAGTGTCAGTGGGGTAGAGATCCGTGGTTACAGGTAGAGCCACAAATTGCTGTGCTGGGAGGCTGACCTGAGCTGGAGGGGACTGAGGTCATTTCCCTTCTGCAGAGGAAGAGTGCCTTGGGAGCCAGTGATGCAACCCTTTTGTACTGAAACTTTGTGCAGCTCAGACTGTTTTTTAAAATAATAATAATAATATTTATTGTTGTTGCTGTTGTTGTTGTTGCTGTTGTTGTTATTGCTGCTGTTATTGTTGTTATTCCCTCCTATGTTTTGGAGAGAGGGTGGTTTCATTACAACATGCGAAGGTTTCATCCACCAAAATCTGAGCCCTGTGTGCTTGGCTGTGCCATGGGTTTGGTGTCAGACAGCACGTTCACCTCTCATTCTGTGCAAGGCAGAAGTGACCCAATCCCTGAGCTGCTGTGGCAGGGCCACGTTTTACAGCCTCTCTGTCTCTTGGGCTGTTTTTTGTCTGCCACAGACTTACATTTTCTGATAGGCAGCTTAGGGGCCTTTGTCTCACCTGGGAGAGACCCACAGCTCTTTTCCCAGCAGGATGGCCAGTGCCTGTGTGTTCCTCACAGTGGCCTGTGCTCAGAGCCACCACCTTGAACTTGGAGCCAGTCTGGCAGCAGAATCACCTGCCGTGGTCCCTGAGGGGACTCAGTCAGTGAAATGAAGGAGCACAAACCTGGGGCACATGGTGGGGTGGTCTTGTCACTCACTGAACACAGTGGTGGTCTTGTGACTGCAGCGTGGGGGGAGCCCGTCCCTCCCTCCCCCTCTGCCTGCTCAGATTGTTACTGGGAGTTCCTCTCTGAGTAATGAAAAGGCTTTGCCTGTGGGGAAGATCCGAGATAAAACAGTGTTAGAGCAGCCAAGGCGGGGAGAGTGGTAATTACTCTGATTTGTGCTTACAGTAAACAGAAAAGCCTCTGTGGTTTTCTCTCCCTGACTGCCAGACCGGGATCCCTCCTGCCCCAGGAGCAGGCAGGGCCTTCCTCAAAGCACCTCCCTCCTCCTGGGCTCTGCAGTCGTTCCGGGAAGATGGATAGGGAGGCATCCTGGGTGTGATTTTAATGGCCTCAGGGTGCTCAGCCACATGTACAGATGTGGAACAACCTGCTCCTGAGACTTCTCCCCCCAGCCCCAAGAGCTGGGCAGGTGGATGTCATCACTGCCAGCATCACCTCCCTGCACTGGGTGATGAGCATCTCACGTTTTTGTGTCCTCGTGAGTGTTTAAGAAGGTGGGGGGAAAGAGGTGCATGTCTCGCCAGGTACCAGCTGAAAAAAGAACTCATGTCCCCTGAGATGAAAGGGTGAGAACTCGGTGAACTCTTCCATCCTCCCAGTCCCCTCTGCCACGCTGGGGGTACAGAGCTTGCTGGCAATTTTGGGTTATTACCATGCAGTGCTTGGTGCTTTAGGAGGAAGAAGAAAATACAGCTGTTGAGTTTTTTGGGTGATGGGGGCTTGGGTGATGGGGGCTTTTCTGTGTGTAAGTGTAGCCATGTTTGGGGGTTTGATTTGTTAGGATGACCACATAAAATGGTACATCTTGAGCACAAGGACAGCTGATTTGGCAGCTTGGTACATCAGGCTCAGTGGGGACACTAGAGAGTTGTGGGAATTTGTGCTAATATCCCTCTAACCCCCTTATCTCTTTCTTTTTGCACTGTCCCTATACTTATGTGATTTTCCACTGTATTTTTCTCGGGGGGAAAAAAAAAAAACAAAAAAGACCCAAATCTTTCTGCTCTTCAGAAAACTCCCACACGCCTCTGCTGGAGGACTCGGTGACTCAGATGACCCCGGAGGAGCACTACAGACGCATGATGTCAGCACTGAACGAGCATGGCACCTTTGAAGAGCAGCAGCAGCAACGTCTCTACCAGCTGGCCAACAGCATGGCAGTGCCCAGCCACGGAGGTACAGGATCTGCAGAGGGGAGGAGGGGCTCGTGGTGCCTGTAAAGGTTCCTAATCCCCCCCAGTGTGCACCTGAGGGGGATCGATGGGCTGCAGTGCTGTCTGTTTATCATGCAGCGAATACAAGTGGTGCTAAAAGGTGTCCTAGAGACCCTTTTCTCCCACCATCTCCGTGGGGGCATCTCCCCTCAACCATCTGTAAGTGCCAGTTCCTTCTGTAGCTCTCTATGGGGATACACTTTTCTTTACTGGAATAGATTCCCTACAGTATCACTACTGTGTATTTTGCAGTGGTGGTGAGAGGGGTCCTTCCTTTGTTTCAAGAGTTTGTGTCAGTGTGAATGTTCAGGATCTCTGGTGTAAGCCTTTATTTGGGTCACAGTGTGTGGAGCAAGGGGGATGAGCAAGTTGGGATAACACAGCAGGGCTGTGAGATGTAGGCAGTGCCAGACACTCCTGCCCTGTAGTGATGGAAATGGCAAGAGGATGTTGCTGCCTTCTCCTGGGGGCTGGAGTGGTGCCCGGAGGGGATAAGTGTCCTGCAGTGCTGGGACCTAAGAGGTGCAGTGTGAGTTGAAGGATTGCTGGTATGTTTTCCCTGGGCTGTGGAAGGAGCCGGCTGGATCCAGCGTGTCCTGCGCTGTGCCTAAAGGGGGCACCAGGCAGTTACAGGATCTGCCCTGCATCCACTTGGCAGGATGCAGGATCCAGGATGCAGCGTTCCCTCCAGGGGTTCCTCAGCCCACCTCACCTTCCCTCGGGAGAGCTGAAACTGCTGCCACTGGCTCAGCTTCACCCTGAGCAAAGCCATGCCTTGTACCGAGTCCTGCGCTGCAGGAGCCAGGGGTGGGGGAAGTAACTCAGCTCTCTGGATCAGGCAGAGCCAGGGAGATGGAAGAGGTGATGCTGTCCCAGTCGTGGAAGCAGAGGGTTGAAGCATCACTGAAAAGCAGGGCTGTGCAAGGATCTGTCCCTCTGCTGCTTCCTGCCCGAGGTGTGGAGGGCTCACACGGGGAGCCGGGGGAGGAGCACAAGCAGCATCAGCAAAGCATCCAGCAAGAGCTGGAGGAGAATCTCTGGTCTCTGAGTGTAAATCCCCAGGGCTCCTTGTTAGGTTAATGAAGAGGCTGTCTTCTTTTCCACTCTGTTTGATTTGATTGGCTTCTCTGGGGGCAGGAAGGCGATTCCCTTCGCTGTGGAGTAAGGATTTGCTTATCAGCAAAGGCACGGCACAAACCTGTGCTGAGGCACGACCCGGTGAACATGGCACATGCTCTGTGTGTGGTGTTGAGCTGTCCCGGGCATTTTCAGAGCTGCAGGGCTCCTGCAAACACAGGGATACAGGGCCATAGGGCTGGAGTTTCACATGTACATGTGATGAACACAGAGGAGAGGACAGCGTGTAACACTGTCCACAAAAGGGTGACACACTCCTGTGCCCAGGTTGAATATTTAACCAAGTAATTCAGATCTAGACCATGTAGAATACACATGTAGACCATGTTGAATACAACAGAGCAAATACACAGCTCAAAATGTGTTGTGTGTACCAGTGTTGTGACAGACAGTCACGACAGACCACCCAACCTGGCACTGGATGGCTGCTGGACTCAGGGACGTGTCCATCCCACCAGCATGTGCTGCAGAACTGCTCTCCCTTATAACAAGCAGAGTAGCTCATTACATTGAGAGCCTGACGTATTTTTATGATTATGATTAAATTGTCTCAGCAGCATTTGTTAGGTGAGGGGGTCACCCTGGGGTTTTGGGTGGGCAGGGGGAGAAGAGGCGCCTGCACGGACAGACTCCCTCGTGGAACACTGACAAGACAAAACTTGGTGTATTTTTGGGTTGTCTCCACACCACAGGGCCCTGGTTGGGCTATAAATTATTAGTGCCAGTACAAAGCGCAGTTTATCTGCGGGCTCACATGGAGGCACCAATAACATTAATAATTTAAAAAATGTTAATAATTTAGAAATCTTTTTTTTTTTAATTGCTTTTCAGGGCCCCCTCCCCCAGCCCCCCCCTCCCTTCTCCGCCCCCGTTCTCCCAGTGGCATTCATCCCACATTCTGAATTCAGTCTGTCTCCGTGCCTGGAACCTCCATCCGCCAGCGTCCCACTGTCAATCAATCTGATTTCCCAACTGTCAGAGTGCAGGATTGTAAATAACAGATCCTGGGGGAGGGGGGGGGGGTCTGGGCAAGGGGGTAGGGGCGCAGGGGAGGGGAGGAGGGGGGAGAAAGCAGCGAGGAGAGGGTGGGTGTGCAGGGGGTTGTTGCGGTCATTCAGGATCAATGCAGCTCCTGGAACTGGCTGCACGCCAGACTTCTAAATTACAGGCGCTGTGGCAATGAGGAGTGACCTGGGTTTTTCAGATAATTAATTTATAAACGTTTCGAGGTGCACGGCCCCTGGCTCCGCGAATTCTCTGGGCCTTTTTACGTGATCCGGTGGGGTTTGGTGTTCCTTACATACCCCTGCAGCTCAGAAGCGTCATTTTAAGGTTTGTCCCCTCAGCTGGGGGTGTGGGGACAAGGACTGTGCGTGTGTGAGTGTGGCTGGAAATTCAGGCACCGGTGCCCTCCTTACTGCCAGCAAAAACAGCAGCTGTGTAAGTGTTTCCACCCCACCACGGGGCTTCAGCCCTGACCGTCACCAAAATGTTGGATGATGTGACTGAGGAAGCTCAGGCTGGGCTAACAGGGATGTGGGTATCTGGGATTTCCAGGACTGAAGGAAAACAGCATGGTGGTATAAAGGAAGGCAAGGAAATTGGAAGTCTATCATCACCAGGGTCGTGCATTGTTCTTATAGTAACCTGGCTTTACAAATCCATCGTGGGAAGAGGATGGACGTGTGGAGGGCTTTGCAATCTCAGTGTGCAAGCTGATCCTGCCCAGGGTGTGTTCACTGAGATAAATCTCCCTCTCCTCCTCTCCCCAGCTGTGTTTTGGTTTCCTTTTGCAGCCTGGTGCTCAGTGAACATGTCAGGGAGGTCTCCAAGTGTGCTCTTGTGCGTCTGAGTTTCCTGTGTGCCATGTGAATGGCAGCAGAGGTTTTGGTGTGGGATGTAAGTTGTGTATGGGGTGTTTTTATATAGATACAGGGACTAAGGGGCTCCTGATGCTTAACTGGGAGAGAGGAGCACTCTGGAAAAGCCTCTGTCAGTGCGACTGGTACGGGTGTCCATGTCTCAAGTCCTTGTTGTTCCCTGAGCAGCAGCACATCAGCTGTACCTGCATCACCTGCTCCTCCTTGGGGCTCGCTGTGATCCCCTTTAGTGGTGCTTGAGGTGATTGTGGCTGTGCCTGCACTGTCCATCACACAGCCCCTGTGTGGGCAGCTTGTGCTGACACCTGCCCTGGAGAGACTGTACAGGTGTATAACCTGTCACTGCACACGTGTCACAGGTAGGGTGACACAGGTCACAGGTTCTGCAGTGGTACCAGGGCAGCACAGGTTTAATGAGGGGTGCATTTCTGACCTGCAGCTGATGTCTGATGGAAGTGTTGTGCCTAAGGCTGGGAGGGGCCCCTCCTGTACCCCATCCTCCTCTGCTCTGTGACCAGGCCCTTCCCATTCCTACAGCAGAGCTGTGCCAGGCAGGTACAGACCCTGCAGGGCCAGCCCTCACCCCTTGCCCAGGTGAGGCCACAGCATCCCCCAGGATGTGGGTGGCTGACTGGGGGGGGCACCATGCTTGGGAAAGCAGCCCTGGGTGCTCAGACCGCTGCCAGGCTGTCCCTGGGAGCAGGGGTGGGTGTTCCCCGGGCAGGTGAACGACGGAGTCAGGTGTGGATTTAAGAGGCTACCTGGGGAAGTGGCTCCCCCTGTTCCCTGTGTTCAGCAGCAGCTGGAGATGCTGGGCTGTGGTTTCGGGGGGGTGATGCTGTCCCGACCGGGGCAGAGCACACGCGGCAAACGCTGCGGCCCCCGGGGGAGCCCCCATAACCTCGGCGGAGCCCAGCGGGGGCGGAGGGGGCACGGCGGGGCCGGGACCCGGGTCAGGTGCCACCGCGGCTCCTCTCGGGACCGACCGGGAGGCTCCGCGCCCGCGGAGAGGGGGCAGACGGCAGTTTGGGGAGATCCTCCCTCTCCTTTTGCTCTCCCCGCATCCATCCCTCCCTCCTTCCATCCTTCCCTCCCTTTTCCCCCCCTCCTTCCCTCCTTCTTTCCCTCCGGCAGGAAGGCAATTAAACAGCAAATCCACCCCCCCTCCCTCCCTCCCTCCCGTAGTTGCACAATTTCCTCCGCTGCCAAACTCCCTCGGCGGCGGAGGCGGATCCCGCCAAGAGCAGCCCGAGCCCGCTCCGCCGTGTGAGTACCGGGGCAGCTCGGGCAGCCTCTCCCGGAGCCCCGGAGCCGCGGGGATGGGCGGCGGGGGGGCAGCTGTCGCCCGAGGGGCTGCGGGCACGGCCGGGAGCAGCCCCGGGGCAGCGCTGTCGCCCGCGGGGAGCCCGGAGCATCCCCGGAGCAGCCCCCGCGGCGGGGACGGGAGGGCAGCGGGTGTTTTCTGTCCGTCCATCCGCGGGGCTGGGGGGAGAGGGGGGGTGTGCGGGGGTCGATGCCGGGCAAGCAGCTCATCCCTTCCCTCCTGTCCCAGATCTCCTGCGGGCGCGGCAAGAGGTGGCGGCGGCGGCGGCGGCGCGGAACCCCGGCGCGATGGAAGCGCACATCCCCTCGGCCAGCAACTCTTCCAGCCAGCGGAGGAAGCAGGGCCTCCCCCAGCACAGGGACACCCACTTCCCCGAGAGGTACCGCGGGCGCGGGTCACCCCCCGCCCCGGGGCGGGGTTTGGTGCGGGGCGGGGGGCTCGGGGGGCTTCGCGCCGGTGGCACCCTCGGGAAAGCCTGGAAAGGCTGGCACGGGTGTCCTGAGGGTGCGGGAGGGGAGGGAGCGCCTGGGTCAAGCGTTGGAACGGGCTGCCCTGGGGAGGTGGTGGAGTCACCATCCCTGGAAGTGTTCGAAAAACTTGTGGATGTGGCGCCTCGGGGACGTGGTTTAGTGGTGAACAGGGAGGTGTCAGGTTAATAGTTGGACTCAGCTATCTCGGAGGGCTTTTCTAACCTTAAGGGTTCTGTTACTCTGTGCAGTGCCCAGGGGTTGGGCAGGGCTGGTTTGCCCAGGTGAGGTGTGAGTGTCTCCCCTGGGTGTTGTGCAGGTGCAGAAGTTGGTGGGGGGTGTTCTGTCCCATGCTGGGGTGTCTGTATGGAAAAGGGAATGATCTGTGCTTGGGCACATGTGCATCCACATCCAGGTGAGTGACTGTGGCTGGAATGATCCCAATCCTGCCCTGGATCTCCAGGGCAGATGCCACTTCAACCTGTTCTTTGGCCAAGAGCAAGTTTAGGTGTTTAACTTTGCATTTTGCAGCATCTCCAGACGAGGGGAGAGAACAAATGCTCTAGGATGGAGTAGAAAGAGAAGTTTTCTTTTTCACAGAAAAGAGGCACAGCTTGCCTTTACCACTGCTAGGAGTGCTGGAAAGCTGATATTCCCCCGCCCTCCCTTCCCCCCCTCCGAGGAAATTCTAGCTCGTTTATCTTGCTCTGTGCCACGAGCCATTCCCTCAGCAATCAAGAACTTCAGAGGGAAATTAAATTAAAGCTGCGTGCGTTTCTGACAGGGATAGCAGAGGCGGGAAAGGGCCACGGGGATGCAAAGGCTTTGGATATCACGGGACAAGCCGTGAAAGGCTCTGGTATTCAGACTTTTTTTGGCTTTCATGAGGGGGTGGGTGCAGAGCAGGCTGCAGCATCACTTCTGTAGCACGTGTACGTACGTGTTGAGTCCAGAGTTTCCCCCCCCCCCCGCATTTATAGCCTTGGAGATCCTTTTTTTTTTTTTCCCTCCTCGTTTTTCCTTCTCTCCAACCAAGTGCCTCTGCAATGTGTAGGGGCTGGGCAGACCTGGTAAACCTTTTCTCCTGCGGGGTGTACTTTGGCTAACCCGCCTCATAAAACGCAGCCCGATCTGTGCGGGCTGCAGGCGGACCTGTGAGGAATGCAGGGATCCACGGCTTTCACTGCAGCCAGTCAGCAGGAACGTTCCTCCAGCGCTGTGTGGCCTGGAGAGGTGCCAGGCCAGCCGGAGGCCTGGCTGGAAAGGCATGTACGGGAAGGGTGGAGGCTTCTAACGGGGAGGTGCTGCTCGCGGGAGGGGCAAACCGAAAATGGGTTCGATATGGATCAGACCCAGGGGTACTTGCCATGGCCAGGCAGGTGCTGGAGGTAATGGAGCTGGGCTAGGCCAGGAAATTTGGTTTGGGAAAAAGGGGGGAGAAGTTGCTCACTAGCTCAGGGGACAGAGACTGAAGGCCAGGAGTTGACTGTTGGAACAAACCACTACTTTTCATCTTGATTCGGTTCTCCAAGTAGCCCCGTGAGTAGTTGCATTGGTGTGGGAGTGAAATCCTGGCGAGCTGAGGAGGGGGAAGGAACACACAGGGGCACAACTGGCTTTGATGTTGAGAGAAGCACCTGTGGGACCTCAGAACAGGGCTGCAGGAGTCACTCAGTGTCTCAGTGTCCCTTGTTGCTCGGTGACAGTGGTTCTCATCTTGAAAGCAGGTTGTATTTTGGCATTTGGGAAGGCCTTGGAGTGGCTCAGTTTCAGGAGCAGTGTAATGTGGTAAAGTTGTGGGGAGCAAGGATATTTGCACCCACTTGTAAAGGTCTGGTTATTTGGCTGTGAGCAAGACCAGCCTGTGGCTGTGTTGGTGGGCACGAAAGAAAGAAGCTGGTTTTTGTTTTTGTGGTCTCGTTTCTGTCCAAGAGCCTGCAGGCTGAAATAAGGCTCACAGCAGGTTACCAGCCCTGCTTTTGTTTTCCCCCAGTGCTCCCAGCTCTGACTGTATGTCCGGGACCTGCTCTTATTCCTGGGCAAAGTCATTCTCCAGGGAGCTTTGAGACAAACTATGTTGAAACATCCCCATGGTGGGCCTGGCTTGGCACATCCTGTGCTCCCTTCCTCTGCCATCCCAAGACATGGCAAGACCAGGCTGTCTGTGTTTTCTGCAGCCATCTGCTCCCCCAGGGAGGGTGTGGTGAGGTCCTGTGTGGCCAACCTCCTCGGCCAGGCTCTTAGGTGTAATGATCCTTGGTTAGCAGAGCTGGGGAGACCTGCTGTGAAATGGGAAGCTACAGCTGTTGCCATGGTCGTGACTTGGTAAGTCTGCTTGGTATGGTTTGTGGATGGCCCCATCCCTTGAAATGTCCAAGGCCAAGCTGGGTGGAGCTCTGAGCAACCTGCTCTAGTGCATGGGAAGGTGTCCCTGCCCGTGGCAGGGGATTGGAACTACGTGATTTTTAAGATCCTTTCCAACCCGAACCATTCTCTGATTAGTGCACAATGTCGTTACTTCTCCCCAGAGCTCTGCAGCCACCTGAGTATCACTGAGGGTCCACTTGCATCCCTCTGCTCCCACTCAGACGTGACCTGTTTGGAGCTGTCCTGTGCAAATTGTTCCTCAGCCAAAACACCAGAGGTGGTTTTGGGGATGCCAGGAGAAACTGTGGCCGTGTGTTGTAAAGCAGTAAAGTTCTGTGTGGGGTAACTTCTCCCTTCCACTCCCTGTTACCCTTGGGTTTTGTACTTGGCTGCCATGGTCTTTGTCAACAGGGTAAATCACAGCAGCCTCTGTGCACCTTTGTTAGGAAGGTACAGAATTTTCCAGAGGTTCAGGTGGGCACTGACAGAGGAGAAGGCAGTGGAGGGAGCTGCTTCAGGTTCGTAGGCAAACTGTAGGTAGATTTACAGCATCTCCTTTCCCAGGAGCAGAAGTAATAACACATGATGCAGGGGGATGTGAACTGTTTGGCATGGTGTTAAAATTCCATTTCAGCTTCCTATCGGGAGATCTGTGGGGATCAGGTCAGCTCTCAGGTGCAGCAGCTCTGTGGGTAAGAATAATTAGTCACTTCAACCATTATGTGTGGCAAAGCAAAGGGGCTGAAACCCACAGTGGTGACCCAGTTTTATTTATCAGGGCAGCGCTGATGTTTTTGCAAAGACAGGAATGCACAGAACTTGCCTGATAATGAGAACTACACCATACAGTTTTCCTGTTTCCAGGGGTGAGGGTGGGTCTGAGACAGGGAACAGTTGGGAAGATGGGTGTGTTCAGACATTCATCAACTAATTATCACCCATTTTTGCTGGTCAGAAACAGGCTGGAAGGTTTAATGACAGTAAGGACAAGGCAGGCAGGTGAGTAGTGGCTTTGAGGGGATGATACACTCATGTACACACAAACACGTGGATATGGATTTTCTTGGACCAGGCTCCAGGGTCCCTTTAGTGGCTTGGTGGCCCCTTCACCTCTTTGGTCCATCTGTTGGAAAGAGTCAGTAAAACTGAGACATCTTGCCAAAAGTAGACTCAAGCCACAGGCTGGAGAATCCATTTGGTTTCATGGTTTTGGTTTCCTAGATCCTTCCTCGATTGATTCAGACTTGAATCCAGGAGTGCCAGGGCCTGGTGGTTGGTTTGAGAGGATTGTTGAGTTCAGCGTTATAAAAAGACTTGGAAGAGGAAAGGGCACAACTAAAAGGTGCCACTGTAACTGCTCCAGCCTGGAGCACTTCCCATCTCCAAACATCCTGCAAAAATGGCAGATGTCTGTGCCCTGCAGAGTTTTCTTGGATCCCACCCCCTGGATCCTGCCTCCAGGCTTTGTTGGCAGCGTGCTTGGTTTTGCTGGGGTCGTTTAGCCTGGCGTGTTCTCACCCAAGGTGTTCATCTCTCTGCTTCTCTCTGAGCAGGCTGGTGTACCTGGAGCCTGGGGAACAACTTGTGTTCTCCCCCCTTCAGGAAAACCTTTCATACCCTGCAAACAGAAGGGACTGGCCGGGAGCTCGGGCGAGGTTGGCTGAGCTGGTGGACAGTGTTGATCAGTGGGGTGAAGCTTGTTGGCTGAATATGAAGCATCAGTTCTGTGTTAGGAGTTGTGAGGAGCTTGTTCTCGTGCCTGCAGTGTGTAGTGTGGGGGTCTGGGGGGGGACCTGCCCCTCTCTCAGAAGGGGAGAAGGCAGAGCCTGGTCAGGGGAAGGGCAGGAGTTGAGGCAGGTCCTTGGTACAAGCCCTCAGCTGGCTCTGGGGCTGTCTGCAACCAGCATTAGGGACACAGTTCATCCTCCAGGACCACAGGCAGTTCCAGGGGAAGGCAGGAGGAATGCCAAGGGACAAGAAACGCTGCCTGCCTGAGATGCCATCAGCATCCTCATCTCCGGGGTCCTGGGAAGCCGAGCCCTTTGGCTGGGAATGGGAGCCACAGAGTCTGAGAGAGAGGCTCTCATTGCCCTTCCCTTGCAGAGCTGACAGACATTGTGCATCAGCCAGAGGCTTTCTCTGAGCAGAGATGTGCCCAAAATACCCAGCAAGGATTTTTGGATGGAGTTCTTTCCATCTGCTGTTGCTACGATTTGTTCTTTCACCACCTAATTCCTCCCCCCTGTTTTTTTGGAGGCTTTCCTTTTTACTCCTGGCTCCTTGGGCACATCCTCCTGTGCTCTCTGGGCTCTGTCTCTCTCCCCCTCTTACCCACCCCCCCAGCCTTGCATCCCCCTCTCTGCTCTGAATATTCTGATTTTCTGATTTTTGCACTGGAGGGATCCTCGGCAGATCCCAGCTGGCTGAATGTTATGCAGAGCAAAGGCCCAAAGAGCTCGACCCGATTTAACTAATTTGGTTTTAGCACCAGTTTGGATTTTGAGGGAGCGATTTCCCCGGGCACCACAAACCAGGCCCATCTCCCTGTGTCCAGGCCTCGTTGCTGCCCTAGAAGGGCAGCTCCAGTGCATGTCTTTTCCTGCCTGGAAATCCCAAACACCATTTTTAGAAAGCCCTTTCATTTTATTTATTTTCCCTTCCTGGCACAGTGTCTGGGGATGGCAGAGCAGCGAGGAGCTGTGTGCTGCCTGCCTATTACCTCGGGTTTAAAGTGTCTCTTCCTATCAAATGCAGAGCAGGAGAAAGCAGAGCTTTCATGCATTCTTTTTTTTTTTTTTCCCCCCTTCTTCCATCCGTTCTAAATTTATTTCCATGCCTTGCCGGTTTCAATCTGCATTTTCTGACCCTCTCACATCTCCAGTCACAGCCTGTGCTCCGAGCCTTCCCTCGGAGCTTGGATTGAAGTTAGGGGGGAGCATTGCTCTGGGCTGGGGAGGATATGATGGGGTTAAAGTGAAAGGCTTGGTTTTAACAGTATAATGTGTAACCCCATAATGACTTTAAATATTGATTATTTGAAGGCCATTAGTGCTTATTGTTAAAGAAAAGTCAATACTTTTTAAGCCTTGTGAACCATTTGTCTCCTGTTAAAGGACATATCAAATTTAGCAGCATGCAGTGCAAATCCCCTAATACCCTGCTCACAAGCCTCCAGCTGGCATATTAGGGGGGGAAAAAAAGAAAAGAGGGTGGGGGGAGGAATATGCAGTACCACAGAACTGCTCTCTGCAAGGTAAGGACAAGGCTTATCAGATGTAATTGCCAGGGGCTAAATTCAGGTTCTCAGAATATGGGGCTGTAATTCTGCCCTTTGAGTGGTGGAGGAAGAGGAGGAAGGAATTTAATGGGGGGGTTGAAGGCCGGTACATACCTGGGAAAGGATGCAAGGATTAGTGTTGTGCTGCATGTCTGTCTAAAAGCACAGCAGCCTTTGTTAAAGTCTCTGGGGCTTTTTACTCCGGGGTTGCCAGTTCTTTTCCAAGCTGGCTTGGAAGCAATTGGCTGTATCTGCACCAGGCAGCCTGGGAGGGCTTCCCAGCTCCGTGCCAGGACACGACCTGGTGGTACTGCCTCCCTCCTGTGCCAGGTTTCCATGCCAAATACCAGGCAGATGGGCTGGGAGGGAGCAGTGGCAGGCTCCAACAGGTTCTGTGTCCAGAGGGTTGGGTTTGTGGGATGGCAGGAAGCGTCTGTCCACGGTCTCACACGGATGTGAGATGCTCCTCAGGGCTCTGCAGCAGGAGCTGTGGAGCATCAGGATGCCTGGCAGGGAGAAGAGTCCCTCGTTCCCTAAATATTTATGAGCGTGCCTGCTCGCTTTTTGAGTTCTCTGCTGCTGGGGATTGATGCCGAGTGTCAGGGGGACAGCAGGAGGGGTGCAGTGACCCCTTCGTGTTGGGCCATCTGCAGCCTCCCTTCTCTGACTTCAGGCCAGGCTCCAGGGGTGTGGTGTGGGACCTCGGGCTGCTCCTGTGCCTTTGCCCTCACCAGCAGTGCTGCCCCGTGTGTGTGTTTGGTGGGGAGCTCCAGGGCTGCTGAGAGGACAGCGCCGGGGTCTCCGTGTGCTGCTGTGTCAGGCAGGCACGGTGACAGCGTGTGTGAATGCGCCTCCCTGAATTTTCCAAGCCTTTGGACTCATCCCCAGCGCGTGTTGGCATGTGTGGAACAGAGGCAGCACCTGACTTCTCAGTCTGAAGTCACTCCTGCTGTGCTCAGCCCTGTTCCTGCCGATGGGATTGGGGCCGAGAGCTTTGTCCCTTTGCTGCATCCCCTTTCCCAGCCAGGCCCCCCTCACTGGCCAGCCCAAACCAGGAGCTGATCCCAGGCCCCCAGAATGCAGGGATGCTCCGAGGAGAGGACAGAGGGAACGAACTGCAGAGAGTCTCGAGCAGATGCGAATTCCTTAGGGATCAAAGTTATGCCCATTAGCACAACATTAAAGCATAAAAATAACCTGATAAACACCGGGCTGGCACGGAAGGGAGAACCTTCTATTTTCCAGTGCCCTGTCCTCATCCCCATCAAACACTCCACTTTCCTGGGCACAGGTTCTGTGTTCTTGGCCAAAATCAAGAAGCTCCTTTGTTTTTAGAGTCCCCTTCAGGCTGCCACCACCTGGGGCTTCGGGACCTCCTGCAGCATCCCCCTTTCCCGCACTATGGACGAGGCGAGGCCGCTCGCCCGGCCACGGAACGGTTAAAAAAAAAAAAAAAAAGCGACTTGATTTCCCTAAATTGCTTCTTATAAAACGAACAGCACGTCTGCCCGGGCTCGTCTCCCCGTGATTACAGCTAATTACGATCGAGCGGACACCTCGGAGCCCCCGTCACGCCGCTTTAATTGTCCGTTATTCATCTGCGGGCTGTCCGGGGTGGCAAAAGCACTTGGCAGCCGCGGCGACCGGGGGGCCTCGGCTAATTGTGAGGCCTCGGGGATTAGGGCAGGTGATTACACACTTCATGGTGTAATTACATAAGCATCGCTTGGCTGCTGCCCCGGCTCGGAGCCGAAGGTCACGCGCTGCGTTACCTGAGATTAATTGGAGCTGCCAGCGGAGTGCGAGGTGCTGGCGGAGCGGTTATACGATTAGCATTAACATTTCAACAGCGACCGATCGATCCGTGGCTCTCCTCCAGACACAGCGAGCTGTGCAATTAGTTTAGAGGAGAGCTAGGGGAGGGAAGGAGGAGGAGGAGGAGGGAAGGAGAGCCGCGGAGGCAGCCAGGGGAAGGGAGAAGAGGGAGGCAGAAGATGGGGTGAGCGAGAAGGAGGAATTTTGGAGGGGGATCTCAGCCGTGGATCAGTGTTTTGTAGTGGCTGGTGCGTAGAGTGGGGATAAAACCACACTAGGAAGATCTCTGCTTGCCCACCTCGCCCCCAAAGAGTCCTTATCTGGTTTTTCACGGTGTTAATTCCTCTCCCCCCCCCCAAACCGCATGGGACAGCTGGGGGTCCTCCTCCCACCCTCCCGTGTCATCCCCCCCTCTGAAATGGGCAGCGTGGTTGTGCGGCTGGTCTGTTTGATGCAAAGTCACAGGCACCTTCTGGCCCCCTTTCTCGTGCCCTCCAGTCTCTCCCGAAGCAGATTTTACAGGGAGATACCATAAAATGAAAATAAACGGCACAGCATTTGGCTTTGCCTCTGGATGCCCTGGTGAAGGTAATAATGTTGTAAGTGGCCATCAAAAGGAATTAAGAGACGTGCAGCCGGAAAGCAGATTTGCTTGCAGGCTCCCAGGGCAGATTTGACTAATGGAAGAGACCTTGGCTCTTACTCCCTTCCTGCCTGTTTTTTTTTTCTTTTTCTTTTTTTTTTTTTTTTTGCTTTTCTTTTTTTTTTTTTTTTTGCCTCTCCCCCCTGCTGCAAGCAAGTGCTACCTGCCTTGCTTCCAGGCATTGTCCCCTTCCCACCACTCAAACCTGCCTCCTCCAGCTGACTTACCACCTGGCATCTGCTCTGCCCATTCTGTCCAGCATCACCCACCCCTTCTCCATCAGGACACCTTCCCGCTGGCCCCGTGGCACTTTCACATCCCTCTCTCCATCTCTCCTGTCTGTGTCTTTCTCTGCCTGACTCCCAGCTCTTCTCTCCAGAATTAAAGACCACCCCTTGTCCCAGCTAGGACAGGGATTTTCTGCAGGGCGTGCTGGTGTTTCCTACAGATTTTTCCAGAACCCCTCTCCAGCTCCCAAAACACAAAATACCTTTTCAGTTGTCGGTAGATGAGATAGAAACCCAGGCTTGATAAAGGGAGAGGCAGATGCAGAATCTGAAGCCATGCCTTTGCTAGCCCTGGGCAGCCAAAATCCCTCTCAGCCCAGCTGAAAGACCACAGAGGAAAAGGTGGGAAGTATGTGTGACCCGTGGAGTCCTGTCTGCTTTCTTCCCCTTTTGATTCTGCTTCTTTTGGTTTCTCTCTCTGCATTTTAGAAGCTCTGCGTATCAGAATTAGCCTCTGGCTCAGAATGCAGGTCACCTGCAGCCAGGATGTTCTTCCCTGAGCCGGGACCCTTTTGGATGGAGCCTCCAGGTTTTCAACGTGAACTTATTTTCTGATTTCTGCAGGGAGATCTCCCACCCACCGCCTCTGCTCTCGCCCCAGAACGCTCCCCACATTGCCCTGGGGCCCCACTTGAGACCTCCCTTCCTCGGGGTGCCTTCGGCGCTGTGCCAGACGCCAGGTGAGTGCACAGGTAATGCTTGTGGGCAGCCAGGGCGGGCTGAGACAAACTGTCCTCCACCCAAACAGCCCAGACACACTTTCTGTGTCTCCCCCTGACTGCTGTGCTGACTTCACCCTGGTTTTGCAGCAATAGCAGCAGTTGCCTTGGCTGCTCTTTCCTTTAGTCCCCACCAGCCTCCCTGGTGTTTCAACCCGTGGGCTCTAGAGCAGAAAGCAGCACTCAGTTGCCCTTTTCTTTCTGAGCTAGCCCTCTGGAGAGCTGAGGTAGCAAAGAGTCAGTGCTGAGATGAGTGAGCCCACGGTGCTGTTCTCCCTGTCCCCAGGTTACGGGTTCCTCCAGCCGGCACAAGCGGAGATGTTTGCACGGCAGCAGGAGATGCTACGAAAGCAAAACCTGGCCAGGTAAGAGTGGGAGAGGGATGGATTTTTCCTTCCCTTTTCCAGCAGCAGCAGGCAGAGTAAGGTGAGGTGCTGTGTGGGGTGAGCTGTGCCCAGGTGACAGAGCAGTGTCCAACTGAGACCAGTGGAAACAGCGTGTGGGTGTGGAGGGAACACTTTGATGAGTACAAATCCCACCCGTGCGACTGGAGCACAGATAAAGTGGGACTGACACACAAAATCCTCCCAGAAGGAAGAAAAGGCATGTTCATCCTGTGATTTTGGATCTTGTCCCATGGAATGCACCATTAATGTCATAAGGCAAACCCAGATATTCTCTTCACAAATAAGATTGGCAGCATCACGTTATTTAACACGACGTTAAACCCAGCCCAAGACATGAAAGTAGCAAGTCCTAATACAGGTCATTGCTGCACTGTGATGATCCCACATTGTAGAGGAAAGTCCAAGCAAAAAGTCTGGCACTCTGTGACAGGACATTTAAAAATAACTCCATTTGGAAAGGGATCTGGTTTGGAATATTTTCGCACTCACTGCACATTTGTTCACTAGATCAGGACCTGCAGTGGAGGGAGGAAAAATTACTAGAAGAAAATTCACACAGTCACAAGAATGTTAATATTTGCTCTGAAAGATCCCCTAGGCCTGTCCCGAACCGCTCCACTGCCCACCCCACCTGCACTGTGGTTTTCTTAGCACTGAGGGCACCCTTAAATGATGTGGCTGAGGGGAACCACCAAGGTGGCCCAGCGAGGATGGGGGTAGTTACTGCCAACATTCCCTCTGCCTCTCCCCACCCAGGCTGGAGATGTCGGCCGAGATCATCCGCCAGAAGGAGCTGGAGAACCTCCACCGCCAGAGGCTGCTGGCCGGCGACCCCCTGAGCCTGCACCCCGGGCTGCCCCCGGACCACCCGGCCCTGCGCAACGTGCACGACATCCCCGAGGGCCACCCGCTGCGGGAGGAGCTGTCCCGGCGGAACGCCATGCTGGTGCTGCGGCACAACAACACCCCGCTGCTGTCCCTCAACCCCGCCGTGCCCGGCGCCAGCTCCTCCACGCCGCCCAAGGAGCAGCCCCGGCGGGGCAGCCGGAAAACCGCGGGGCAACAGCGCGCCGAGCCGCAGGGCGTGGGCGAGGCCAAGGAGCCGGCGGAGCCGCGGGCGCGGGACGGGGCCCCGGACTGTAACGACGAGGAGATGAAGGACTCGGAGAGCGACGCGGACGTGAGCGACGAGAAGCCCGAGAGCCTGAAGGCCGAGGGCGGCGGCGGCTCGGCCGCGGAGCTCAAGGAGTGCAAGGAGGCGGGCAAGGCGTGCGAGGGGGCCAAGGAGATGGGCGAGGCGGGCGCGGCCCAGAATGCCCCCTGCAGCTCCTCGAGCGCAGAGTCCCCCAGCCACCTGCTCGGCCCGGGCATCAACAAGGCCGAGGTGAAGTACCTCCCGCCGGCCTCCATCCCGCCGCCTCAGCCGCTGCCCTTCGGGTTCCCCTACACCATGAGCCCCTACTTCCATGCAGGTGAGCGCATGAGGGACGTGTTTCGTGGTGCTAAAAACGGGGCTCTTCCCCCCCACCCCTCATTCCGCAGTGTGGTTGCAGTTGCTTTCTCAACTTTCCGTCGTTTTTTTTCAAAAGGGAAATTTTTTTTCCCTGTTAAATGTTGGAATGGGATGCCTGGGGTGATGGTGGGAATGCCCATCCTTGAAGATGTTCAAGGAACGTGGCACTCAGCGCTCTGGTCTGGTTGACAAGGTGGGGGTTGGTCAGAGGTTGGACTTGATGGTCTTGGAGGTCTTCTCCAACCTCAGTGATTCTGTGCTTCTCTGCAAGGAACCAAAAACCTTCTTTTAATTAATATGAAGGACTCTGTTTGCAGTGAAGCAAATCAAGGGCCATAAAGAGGGGCCAGCAGGGACAGAGTGAGTCCCGAGCACATGAGAAGGGAAATCCCCAAAATGATGGCCTGAGGGATCTTGCAGTTGCTTGGGCCTCCTTTGGCACCTTGGACAGACACCAGTAAATTACAGAGAGCTTCAGGGAGAGGCAGCAACAGTTATTAATGGCTGCAGGGTGCTGTCAGAGTAACCACTGCTGTGCCCCTTTTCCAGGGGGGAGGTGGATGGGCCCTTTCCCCTGCCTGTGGTGTATTACTCAGTGTCACAGGCACTGGGACAGCCGGATTGGTGCCTGTTGGGTGGGACAGGCAGGCAGGGAAGTCACTGCTGTCCCCAGTGGCACAGTCCCTTGGGCAGCAAAGGCACGGCTGGAGCAGGATGGTACAAAGTGGGGTCTCAAAGCCTGGTAGCTGGGCAGAGCAGGGTGGCAGCCCCGCCAGCCTAGCCGGGAGCCAAAATCTGCCTCAGCTAATTACTTGAGTGAGCGATTAGCAGGCGGTGGGACCTCCTGCCTCATGGAGGAGGGAGAGAGGGGGGGACGTGGCGTGTGGGTCGCCGAGGCTGCCCGAGTGGCCGTGGCTGCGGCCGTGGCTGCCCATCACTCATTAGAGCTGCCTCCCAACCAGGAGGGAGGAAGCGATTTTTCCTGTGACAGGCAGGTGGCCAAGATGATAAATATCCCTGCTGCCTTGGGCTGCTGAGGCTTCCTCGCAGGAGCCTTTTTCTCCCGGCCATTAAAAAGGGGAAAGGCGCAGCTCCGCGGTGCTCGTGGCTCGTGCGAGGCTCTGCAGGGAGGCCTGGGATGTGGATGGGTTTCCTCCCTCCCCCAGCAATGTGTGAGTTACTGTAATAGGCCATTTATTATTATCACTTCGAATTTATATCACCATCGTGTCTTGGGGCCCCGGCACAGATCAGGGCTGTGTTTCACTGCCCGGTTTTCAGGCAGTTCTGATTTGTGGAGCCTGTTCCAGGGCTGTAGGTCTTTTCCTGAGGGCTCTTTGGCTTCTGGCTGGCTTCACACGGTGCTGGGGCTGTTAATCCTGCCTGCCTGCGGGGTTTAGGCCCCGTTGTGCTCAGCTCCATAGCAAAACCTCTCACCTGAAAAGCCTTGGGAAGACAGGGCGTCTTGTTCGATGCAGCACCACGGGTCGATGGGGGAGCTGGGAGTCCAGCAACTGAAATATTGAGGGTTTGTATCGATCCAAGAGCTGCAGCGATCCTGGGCTGTGCTGGGGTAACGTGTGTCGGTGGAAAAATGTGTTCCTGTGGCCCTTGGGGAGCACAGAGCACCTGAGGACAGACAGACTGAACCGAGCCCACCTCTCCCTGGCGCCAGACAATCCCTGTAACCCTGTTCTGCACAGAGACTGCTCTTTAGGCCTGGAGGGATGTGATGTTGTGCCCTGCACCAGAGACTGGAATGATAAAGTGACCACCTAACTGAGGCAGGTAACGTGGCAGGCCAAGAGGAAGAGCTGAGAGGGAGGAGAGGAGAGGGGAGAAGCATCCAGCTGAAAAGGACCCCTGAGTTTCAGGCAGTTCCTCTGGTCTTCCAGCAAAGGGAGGCTCCCCTGGAGGCAGAGAGCTGTTTTCTGTCCCTGCTGGGAAGCATATCGATGAGGCAGCCAGAGCTGGGTCGATTCCCTGAGCTGCCTTCTGGGGATCTGGCGGCTGCTCGATGACCTCATCTCGTCAAGGTTTCAGCAGCCTTGCTCCCCTCCTCCTCCTCCTCCTCCTCCTCCTCCTCCTCCTGCCGCCCTCCTCCTCCTGCCGCCCTCCTCCAGCCCTGTCCTCTGGAAAAGGTGAAGGATGGAGTGTGCAGGAGGCTAAAATCCTTCTATTGATCTGTAGTCTGGAGAGCAATTAACGCAAGCCTTGCCGTGCTGCTCCGTGACCTCTCTGGCAGGAGGGAGGGAGGGGGTGCAGGCACAGGGAGAGGGGTTGGGGAGTGGTAGCAAAACTGATTAAAGCCATAGGTGGGCTGGCTTCTGTGGGGGTTCTCTTTGTGTCTCCCAGCTGGCACCTGGATTGTCTCCTGCACTGCCAGGATTCGGGTCCCGCTGCAGCCCGGCTGGGGGATCTGCAGCAGAGCTTTCCCTGACCGGGATGGCCAGAAGGTTTGCTCCCCATGACCCCCTCCAGCCTTTGGCTTGTGTTCCTGGAGCAGCTGGATATCAGGAGGAGGGAGGGGAAATTATAAATGGATTGCAGCATGGGTGGTGAGGGCTTTTACGTGGACACCTGTCCACACGACACCGGCCTGGGACGATGGATTCTTTTCAGTCCCCACACGCTGGGCCCCATCTGGTGAAATGCTCCGTAATCCATTACCAGCCTCTTGGACCATCATTTATCATGGGGAGAGACAGAGGAGGCCTGGCAGGGAATGGATGCTGCCCTTTATGCCTCCTCGCAGCCCCGCAGCATCCAGTGACATGTCATTATTATAATCGAAGGTGCGTCCCTTCCAGCCACTTGGCACCTATTTGTTATCATTCTCCGAGCTGCCAGAGCAGGGTGAGTGGATGCAGCCACGCACAGGGATGGAGCAGACGGTGCATTATCCTCCCAGGGAGGGACAGGAGGAAGGACAGGAGCCCTTCTGCTCTAGGGACCGTAAAATTGGAAGGGACCAGCGTGCTGAGGGCTGGACCTGTACTCGTTGCAAACCAGATGCACGCTGAGGTGGAGGGACCACTGTAATCAGCTACAGAAATCCTTCCCGGGGTTATTCCTGGTGGATTCAGAGCTGAGGTGGGAGCAGAAGGGCAGGGGGGACACCTGGACACCAGGCTCTGCAACCCTGACTGCAGGGTGCTGAGTACTCAGAACAGAACTGAGCCTTTGGAGATACCACTCACTCTTTGATTTTTGGTAGTAACAGGGGTGTTTTACCACCAATCTTGGTGGAAATAGAGGTTTCCACCCTCTAGATTTTACATTCTGTGGCACAGAAATTGCTAATAGGCCAGAACCCAAAGTATTGGTATTTACCTTCCCCCTCCTAAAAATATTTCCACCAGTAATTCCCTGGTATAAATGGGAAGGGAAAACAAACTCTGTGAGATAAATATTTTGGCCGTATTATATTTCTCTGTGTGTGGGTAGGTGGAAAATATTCCCATGCAGTGGGTTCTGCCTTATCCTCGATCTGGACACAGCAGGCTCTGTGTGTGTTTGTCTGTGGGCATCCTGACCTCTCCCTTCCTTCTTCTGGGGCAGGAAGAGACAAAGGAGAGAAAACCACAGAGGAGAGAGGCTGCTGTAGGAACAGGAGTTGTTGGCCCAGCTCTGCTGGCTGTGCCAGTAATACTGAAAGTGATCCCTCATCCAGTGAGGTTCCAGGATTGCAGGCACGTGTGTAGGAGAGAGATTCCTCCTCCCTGCCAGCTGTGGGAGCAACATCTGGGCTGAATGCCTGCCCATGCTGGTGGGGACTGACCAGCCCCTCTCTGTGCAGGCTGAGCTTAAACCCTGAGCATAGTTCAGGCTGGCTGGCGACTGGAGGGCTCGTTCCCAAGCACTGTGTTGCTGGAATTCAGTCCTTGGCCTGCTTTTGGAATAAGGAAGTACCTAATTTTGAAGCAGTTGGCTGCTGCAGTCGGATCCCCTCGGAGACGCTCTGGCTGCAGATGGAGGTGTCTCGCCCGAGCATTGACTGTGCCTGGAATAATCTTGAGTTCAGTTTCCCTTCCTCTGTCTACCAGGCTGCAGCCAGTTTTTTGGAGGAAGAGAATTCCCCTCCACCCTACGAAAGAAAAATCCCCCCCCCTCCAAATGACAAAAAAGGGGGGGGGGGAAGCCCTCGGCCACCTGAGTGTTCTGTGAATTTTAACATAAGCAGCTCTGAGTGTGTCTCCTGGAAGGTGGAATGTGATAGGCATGGAAATGAAGGCTCGTGTCCATCTGTCTGTCTCGTAGCTGGGGGTGACAAGGGGAAGGACAGTGCTGCTGGCCCTTTGGCAGTGGCTTGTTCCTTCACCTCCTGTGCTGATGGGCGCCTGCTCCCAGGAAAGCTGGTGGTTTTCTGTTATCGGGCACACAAAAGCATTTGAAGCTTTTTCTAGCTGGAAAAAGAAGGTGTGGAGAGAGTGAGGAGCTTCCCTGGGCTCTGGCAGGGTGCAGGGTGGTGAGGAGGGAGCAGTGGGCTCTCCCTGCTTGGCACACCACAGCTGGGCAGAGCCATCCCGGGAGCAGCAAAGGGCGTCCTGTGAGCCTGAGCTGAGGCTGGAGGGGAGGGAACCTGTGCCCGTGGGAAGGAAAGGACGGGAAGGAGGCGTGAAAGGTCTGGTGTTTGCCCACAGTGAGCGCCCTGAGAGTCCTGGGCTGGTGGAAAGTGCTGGCAAGGAGGGCTGCAGAGATGTGACCGAGTCCCTGAGGCATGGGGGGAGAGAGGGATGGGCAGAGCTGGCAGAGCTGTCACAGGATCCCAGGCTGGGGTGGAGTTGGAGGGACCGCTGGAGCTCACTTGGTCCAACCTCCCTGCCCAAGCAGGATCTCCTAAGAGCACGTTACTCTGCATTGTGTTGAGAGCCTCGGGGAGCTCCTGCCTCTCCTTGTGGCTCCAGCCAAGACATTCTGGCACTGGAGCTGGCAATCCTCTGCCTGCACTGGTGGTGTGTGCAGGGGGAGACACGGACTCACCCCAAATTTTGGGAGCTGTGGCTGGTCCTGGTGGCCCCTCTCTGTGAGGCTGCTGGTCCTGGAGCAGTCAGTGCCCTGGGGGATGCACATGGACTGCCCAGAGGTGTGCAGGGGCACGGGGGGCCGTGGTTTTGGGTGAAGCAGACGGTGCTGTCACCTTCCCAAGAGGTGGTGGTGCTGGTGGTGGTGGTGCAGCTCCGGGAACGGCGCGGAGGGTGAGGCTGGGAAGGGAAGCAGGAAGCTGGGAGCGGAAATGGAGTGGAAATGATTACATAGCGTCTGCCTGCTCCTTGGGCAGGCTGCTGTTGTTTTAAAAGCGTCTTATTGGCATGATAACTTCCTGTGGAGATCCCATATTTTTCCTGTTCCCTTGGATGTGCTGGGGGGCTTTGCCAGCGAGTGCCTGGAGCTGTGGTGTGTGGCTCTGCTCCTCTGTCTGTGCCTCTTCCCTCTGACCTGGTGTATTCCCCAGGGAATTGGACACTCCTGGTCCTCTGGGCCTGTGCTCCCCACCATGACTTTGTTGGACTCTGCTTTACCTTGCCATTCCCTGTGGAAGGACTGTCCTGCCTGCTGTGGGCAGGGATGAGGGAGTTGCTGCAGGGGGTTACAGCCACAGCCCTGTTCAAATCCATCAGGGAAAAACCTTAAGACCACAGGACAGATAATTTTGTCATGACAGACCCCTGGGAGAAATTTTTTTTTCTGGTAGTGTCCTTCTTCGAGCCCTGAAGCAGAACAGTTCATGCCTTCATAAACTCTCTACCTGATAATCCTGGGTGTTCACATCCCTATAAATGTCCTTGTTGTCTCCTGGTCCGAATATCACACAGCAGTGAGTTCCACAGATTAATAATGGCTTTCACCCCCCCATCACACCCCAAAATGGGTGTTTTCTGGAGTTTGGTTTCTTCATTACCCATCCCCTTTATACCCAGAGCAGATACGAGTTACCTGGCTGGTGTTTCTCTCCCCATTTTCATTCCCTGTGCCTCTCCAGCTCCTCTCTGAGTCCCGTTTGGGTTCCTCCCTGCACACACATCCCGTGCAGATCTGAGTTACCTGGCTGGTAACTCATGACAGGCCCCTGGGAGAAATATTTTTTCTGGTAGTGTCCTTCTTCGTGCCCTGAAGCAGAACAGTTCATACCCCTCATAAACTCTCTACCTGATAATCCCGGATAATCCTCTCCCCATTTTCATTCCCTGTGCCTCTCCAGCTCCTCTCAGAGTCCCATTTGGGTTCCTCCCTGCACACACATCCCGTGCAGGTATGAGTTACCTGGCTGGTGTTTCTCTCCCCATTTTCATTCCCTGTGCCTCTCCAGCTCCTCTCCGAGTCCCGTTTGGATTCCTCCCTGCACACACATCCCGTGCTGTCAGGCACTGGTGATGCAGGAGTGTTTGGGGGGGGGCTGCTCCTCCACCCTTTTGGAGCCCATCACCTTCCTCGGTGCTGACAGGGCTGGGACCTGAACTGCTGTTGCGTTTCGGAGCGTTGACACCTCGGCTCGGCCCGAGCCCTGCTGTCCATGCCCTGTCACGGGGGTGGCAGGGCCAGCCCGTCACCCGTCACACGCCTGGCCAGGAGAGGTGGATGCCCAGCAGATCCCGAGGCCGGGGCAGAGCCACCCCTTGGATATTTCAGGCTGGGCTGGGTTGGAAAGGAACACTTGGAAGGAGCACGAGTTCCCCGGCGATTCCCACTGCACCAGGGGCCTGTTGTCATTCGGAGCACGTCGGCAGGAGAGAAGGGCTGGGGGAGAGGAACCCACAGGGCAAGGCAGAGTTTTCCGCTTTGTGGTGCCTGTGGAGAAACACTCCTTCAGGGTTTTGGTTTTTTTTTTTAATCTCTTCCCTCCCCTCCCCCCTATTTTTCTCCCCCTGCAGCTGAAGAACATTAAACACATGAAATGCATTAGCTCGGATTTTTCCTTCCCCCCCTGCCCCCCTCCCTCAGCCAGGGACCTCCAGGAGGAAGAGGCCTATGAATTGACCCTGCCCAGTGCTTTAATTGACAGGTCATTAAAGATGAATGTGTGGCTAGAGAAAAATATTCAGATTTCAGGCTAGTTGTTGTCCGTGTGGGATTTTAATGATTTATGGTTCTTTCTCCTCCCCTCCTTCCTACTCCCTTCCCCCCCACCCATCCTCCTCGACTCCAAACAATCCAGGCACCATGGGAGGTCTGTTTCTGGATGGTGAGGAGAGCCCTGCGCTGGAAGACATCAGCAAATGGACGGTGGAGGATGTTTGCAGCTTCGTGTCCAACTTGTCTGGCTGCACCGAGTACACTCAGGTAAATCTGAGCGGGCTCAAGAACATCCCTGGAGGGGGAACATCCTTCCTGTGAGCCCCCCTTCTCTCCCTCCTGTTTGTGCCTGTTGTACTTGCACTGTCCCTCCCAGGAGGTTCATCTCAGAGCCCTGCAGGGCTTGGAAGCTGTGTGGGTTTGTTTTTTTTTTTCCGAGGGGATTGCTAAACTTGCTGCTGGTGAAGAGCCTGAAGAAGGTGTGTGATGAGTCTTGTAGATGGACAGAAACAAGGGTGGAGTTTGGTGGAAGAGGATGGGATTAGGGGCAAGGTTAGGAGTGAACACCTGAGCTCAGGTTGATCGTGGTTAGTGGCTTTGTGTCACTGATCTCCCACCCCCATCTCATGCTTTTAGGAGCTGCTGATGCTCCGTGGTGGAGCTGGACACAGCAGTGGCTTTGTGGGGTGGGTACCAGGGGGTCCCCAAATTGGGGTGGGCAGCCCGTGGTGCCAACCAGCCTGGCAGAAGGTGCTGTGTTCTGCTCTCTTGCTGCACCCAGCACACTGTGGGGTCACAGTGGGGTTGGGGGCGGACCCTGTGCCTGCACAGGCATCAAAGTAACCTCAGTGGTGATTTTTAAGCTCGTTTACAGCAGAGTTGAAACATCCATCAGCAGTGGGGTGTCCATAAAGCCTGCTCAGTGGGGGATTGTGAGGTGCAATATAAAAACCAACCCTCTGTGTTTTTTTGCCTCTGCATCTGCCTGAGGCCGTGATCAATGTGCCATTGAGGGATGCTCCAAGGGCACGGATTCCTGGGCAGCTTGGAAAAGGATGTAGTGTGCTGAGGGAGGGACTGGAAGCAGCAGAGATAGAGAGGCAAAGGGCCAGAGTTCAGGACAATCCAGCCTTTCAGCAGGGGCTGAGAACAGGTCTGGAAAGGGAGGATGGAGAGCAGGAGCTGAGCTTTCTGGATGTGCCTCTTCAGCAGAGGAGCTGCCCTCCCTGGCTGACAGCTGAGGGGTACAGGGCTGTGCTGTGACATCCAGGCTGGCCGAAATGGGGTTTCTAAAAGTCTGCTGCCCCTCCTTTGGCCTGTGCTGTCTGTCCCTCTGTGCTGCACTGGTCCAGTGTCCTCTCCCGGAGCTGAGCCCGTCCCCAGGCATTTATTTTGGGAAAGGTGAAACTGGGCACCTCTGTGCCTGCTGGGACCCCTGACAGGGGAGCAGTGTGTGTATCTGCCTGCAGGGAGATGATTCCCTGTAGGTTATGCTGATTTAGTGCCATGGGGAAAGGTGCATCCCCAGAGGGGAAGCAGAACCCAGGAACTGCCCCCCACCTCCCTCTCCTTGCACAGGTGATGGATAATGGGATTTCAGTCTAAAGTCTGTCCTTCCCTGCCCCCAGACCATGATGTTAATCTCATCACAACATGCTTCCTTAAAACTACCTGGAAAACCAGTGCTGCTTTGGAGCAAACAGCTGTGCTGGGGGGGGAGAGGAAGGGAAGGGAATGTTTGTTGTGGAGATGGGGGACATGTAACCGTCCCCAAATGGAGTGACAGGGATTTGGGTTGTGCTCAGGAGTGGATCAGGGTGAGTGGGTGCGTGGGAGAGAGGAGGGTCAGGTTCTGATTGTGGCAAGAGGGAGGGAAAGAACTCTGGATAGAAAGAGAGATGGTGGATGGGTGATGGATGTTTATGGGAGCATCTGTGTGTGCAGAGGGGAGTTCAGGAGCTGGGTTTAGCGAGGATGAGGGTGGGTTCACAAGTGTGCATGTGTGGGCTGCAGAGTGTGTTGCTGAGAGCTCCAACAAAAGGCTCTAAAACCAAAATACACAGCCCTTTGCATTCCCTGTTATCCCCCACCCCACTGGGGTGCCCTTCCACTGGTGGTGGTGTGGTTTATCTGCATGCCTGTGCTGGGGAAGGACAGTCGGAGTTGCCCGGATGCTTCTGAACCAGGCCAGTAGGAAATGTGCAGGAATCTCCAACGCAGCAGGATCATCCCTTTACCCCTTCCACACCATCCTGGTGCACCAGAGGGGGGGGAATCAAGAGCTGAGGTTCAGCAATCTTCCCAGTGCGTTCCAAACAAAATGTTTTATGGAGATGGGAGCTGCTACAAGCACCCCCTGGCCAGGTCGTTGCTTCGAGCGGGAGTTCGAGGCTTTAAGAGATGATGTTTTTCATGCCATGGTTGTGTGTTTAACATTTTTTTTTCTTACTGTGTGAAAATGCCCGTGCTCAGGGGTGACTCTGAGCTGCAGAGCTGCCTTGTGTTCCCCTTCTCCAAACCCACAGCTGCCGGGGAGGTCTGGCACTGCTCCGCAGGCTGCTCCCGCCAGCAAAACCCTGCAAGGTTCGGGTGGAATGCTGTGCATTTAGAAACATGTTTCAGGCAAAACAAGGAAAAAGCTTCAGCAAAAAAAAATAAAAAGTCGCCACGGCCTGGACGGTGTTCAGCTTTGTCTCTGCAGTGGATCTGGGGGACACCCAAGGGGATGCTTTTCCCAAGTTAAGGCTTTTTGTGGAGTGTTTTAGTGCCGAGCGAAGGGAAGGTTTTGGCTCCTGGCCACACTGGCTGCAGAGGAAGGGAAAAGAAACTGGTGTAGAAAGTTTTTTGCTGGGTCAAAAAGCAGCAGTGTGTGCTGCAGCCCCAGCCCTGAGCAGCTTTGCTGGAGGAGTCCAGCAGTAAAAACCCACTTGGCTCCAGCAGCCGCTGCCAGTCTCCAAAGGGATGGCTCCAGGCTGTGGTTCTGCTGCTGGAGAAGAAGATATTGGGGTAAATTTAACCCCCTCTGCCATAGTGATCAGTAATAGAAACACTGTGTGTGAGCCATTGCAGGAGGAGAGGGCAGGATCAGCCCCAAATGTGAGCTGGAGTGTGGCAAAAACGCTGAGGAGGTGTTGAGGCAGGGAGGAAAGGCAGGTGGGGTAGCAAGGAAAACAGGGAGCTGAGTGACACCTCCCAGAGAGGCAAGGGGAGCTGGTGGCTGAATTAACCAAATTTACTCTTGAAATGGAGCCTTGTTGGTGCAAATAAACACCCCGAGGAGGTTGGTGGGAGCGTCCCCTGCACCGTGTGTGAAGGATGGAGCAATAAGACCACACAGCCAGACCTTAACCTTGCTAACACGGCACATATTAGGTGGGAAACTCTTGCATGGCCCTGTCATTTGGGATAGATGGAGGCAAAACGAAGGTTGTTGTGGTTTTTTTTTCTTTAATAACGTGTTAAAATGGTGCAGTTGTGCATGGCTGGAGGTATTAATGTGTTGATATGAAACTGCTGTTTTCTGGGACTATACCAGCCCCGTTGCCATTTGTGTGTGCACATCACCAGGTCCTGCTTTCCCTCAGCTAATGGGGAGAGGGGGAAGAGCCCTGAGATGGTTAATGGCACTGTCTGAAGGCCAGGTCACCCTGTAGGATCCTTCCATGCTCCATCAGCACCGTGGCACTGAAATATTTATCAGTATCAGTACTGTTTATTAGTATTTCTACTAATAAATATTGCAAGATTTCTTAGTATTGGGGGGAAAAAGCAAGGGCTGAATGTTAAAACAGACCAGCGAGGAGGGATCATCCTCCCTGATCCCAGTGGGTGTTCTGGGAGCAGGATGGGCTGCACTCTCCAGGCTGCTCGAGTGTTGTAGGGATGGTGGGAATGCCTGAGAGGCAAAGGAGGAGACAGGGAAAAAAAAAGTACAGAAGTGTTGCACGTGAATCCATCTATCCTACAGCATGTGCTCCACAGATCTGTTTATGTATTTTGCCTGGACTGTTTGGGAATTAGCAGCTTTGAGAAGGAAATGCATGAGCAATCCATCCCTCCTTTTCCATGGCATTTGCCTCAGTGAGGACTGCAAATATTTTTGGAGTCTACTGGGTCAACTTTTCCCCAATATCCGCACAAAGTGCGAGTGACTTAGGATTTGCCAAAATTTAATTTTTTTCCCCCCTGTTTTCTGCCCTTTTTGGAGTTGGGACCCCTGAGCATGTCAAAATCTGCTGTCAAACACTGACAGAGTTGCACTTGGGGCAGCTGGTTTGGGTGCTAAACCTGGGATGAAAAACTTCACACCCCGTTCTGACATTAAGAAAAAAAAAAAAGGGGAGAAAAAAAAATGATTGTTTTATATAAACTGGCCCAAGCAGCCCTAATTCCCATTCCCACGTGTGTCTCCTTTTGCTCACTGGCTCCTGGCTGTGGGTGCAGGACTGTGAACACCTCTGGTGTATAAATATGGACTGACCTCACTCTTGGAGTTCACCTTTCCCACAGAGCCCTTCTGTGCAAGGGCAGGACAAGGGCACTGGGTGTGTCAGTGGCATTTCTGAGCCTGGGCCTGTGCTGTGCTTTCCCTCCAGGTATTCCGAGAGCAGGCCATTGATGGAGAGACCCTGCCCCTCCTGACAGAAGAGCACTTACTGAACAACATGGGGCTGAAACTCGGACCTGCCCTGAAGATAAGGTCACAGGTAGGAAAATCTCCCCTGTAGCAGCACGTGGCATGCTCTGAAATTGTCCCCCTCACCAGAATGGGGCTGTCAAGAGATGTGGTTTATTGAATGTCATTTATTAAGCAGCAATTTATTTTGTGATTCTGTCTCAAGAAAGCTCAGTCTTGTCCTTCCAAAAAGTTCCATATCCTCACTCAAATCCAGTCACAGCTGTTTCAAGGAAGAAACCAGAGTTCAGCACCCAGGGGCAGAAGCAAATAGTTCAGGAGGAAATAACAGGGATGCAGAGGGAAACTCCTAAAATGGAGTGGTTCCTGCTGGAAAAAAAACACATCAGGTGGTTCCCATAAATACCAGCCAGGAAGGAAGAACAGCTGTGAACAGGTGAGGGAAGGGAGGTGGTTTCACACTGGCTGAACCTGAAAATAGTCATCCCCAAAGTACCTAAAGAGGGATGTAAAGCCACCTCAGGAATCAGCTGTCTTTTCCTAGGCTGGATTAGGTCCTTTGGCTGCTCCTTTTCCCTGTACCTGGCTGAACCCTGGCAGTTCTCCTTTTGAGTGAGGCCTGAAGCACATTTAATGTGTCTCAGCTGTTGTGCCTTTCCCTCCCCAGTGAATAATGACCCAGCTCTTGCCCTTCTCTGCTGTGCCAGGAACAGCCCTCTCTAACATCTTTATCTCTTGCCAGTCATAACTTACTGGTCCTGCTGATTTGGCTGCACTGGAAGTGGAAATTATATTGATTACATTAGTCCAGTTCTCTTTTAGGGGACTGTATTTCCTCCCCAGCACAGACTGGTTTGCTGTTGTGCCCTTTTAGCTGTTTCTTTTCAAAATACCTTTTCCCCCCACCATGATTTGGTTCCCAAGTCCCTGCCTGTAGAGCTTTGCTGTCCTAAAATGACTTTGCTCTTCCCCTGCCTCCCTCACAGCCAGCCATGGGGATTCCATTCCAGTTGCCTCCACTTCCCCTCAGTGGGACTCAAACCTAGGAGAACATCTCCACTGGCTTAATTTTTCTTTTTTTTCCCATTTAATGTTCAGGAAAAAAAAAAAAAGACTTGTGACACATGTAAAGCACAGGCTGTGCTGTGTATTCCCTAGGGAATCGTGTCATGGAAGTGACTGTCATGTGTACATGGACACTCACAGCTCTGGCACAGGTCCCCAAACCCACAGGGCTGTACACTGGTTATATTATGTTAAAACAATAAGAGCAACTTTACTACTTTCCCTCCAGCCCTCCCTGTTTATGAGGGGGCTAATAAAAAGGTTCTGTGGGCAATTGTTCCCCGTGGGTCGATTCAGGAGGAAATAAAACTCTTTTCTGCTTCTTAAAAAACAAGGGGACGTCGAATAGCTCACAGACATTCCGAGATGGGGCTTGGGGTGGGGGGAATATGAGATATGGGCTGGAAGCAGAAAAACCAGCTTCAATTTAATCAATAGTGTTTAAGGGTCTATAATAAGGCACGGCTGGGGGGAGGTAAGTGGGGAGCACTGATGCTGCTCCCTGAATAATGTGGCAGTTGTCTGGGTGGAACAGCAGCCTGTGTTTTTGTTTAAGCTCAAATGTGAACCAGCTGTGGAGGTGCTGGGAGGCTGTGGGGCCTTTGGCCCTTGCTGGGAGGCAAGAACTGCTGCAGGAGAGCTGGCTGGGGCTGCAGGAGGGAGAGGTGCAGGCTGAGAGCTGCCTGGGCAAGGAACAGCAGCCTTCCCGCAGCAGGATTTTTGTTCTGCCTCTCCCTGTGTTGGTCCCAGCTCCCCCTTTTAGGAGCAATTCCCGCTCTTCCAAACTGGACGTGGTGTGCTGTGCCATCAGCAGGAGAGCACTGTCCTATCAAACTGTCCACCCTGTTAATGCAAGGACTGAAGAGGCTGGAATCAGTCAGCCCTTCTCTCCTGGGGATGTCCCAGCACACCTTTAGCCTGGAAAATGTGGACTCAGGGCAGACCTTGTGGCTCCAGCAGTACCTGGTGCCACACACCACAGTGCCCAGTAAAACAGAGCTGGAAAGCACAGGACAGAGCCCTGCAGGGATAGAGGAGGAAACCCCTGGTTTGTCCTCCAGGTGGACTGGGAATGGCGGTGCTTCATTCCAGTGATGCAACCACAGAATCACAGAACGGTCTGGGCGGGAAGGGACCCTAAAGCTCATCTGATTCCACAGGCAGGGACACCTTCCACTAGACCAGGTTGCTCAGAGCCTGGAACACATCCAGGGATGATGATGGAGCATCCACAGCTTCTCTGGGCAGCCCACCTCTTTATTTGCAGCTTGGATACAAAACCTGACGTTACGCGTGAAAACCCGCGGGACTCTCTAGACCGTTCGTGCGCCTTTTCGCCCTCCTGCACTGATCCCACATCCTTTTTTTTCCCCTTTCCTTTATTAACAGGTGGCCAAGCGAGTGGGCAGAGTGCTGTACATGGCAGGCTTCCCCATGGCTTTCCCCCTGCAGCCCCCCGGGCTGAGGCCCCCGGAGCGGGACGTGCCGGCGGCCGAGCTCCGGCCTGCGTCCACGGGCAGCGTGGCCTCTCCCTTCGGGAGCGGGGTCCCTTCCTCTGCCAGCCGGGGCTCCCCAAAGCAGGAAAACGGGAATCCTTCCCTCCTCCCCGGGCTCAACGACACCACGAAACCTCCGTCCTAACTGCGGGGTGCCCTCCGACTGCTTCTGGGACTTTGGGGATCCAGCGGGACGAGCCGAAGGATAACGCCGGAGCCTCCCCCCCGCCCGCAGCGCGAGACGCAGGAGTGAGGGAGGAAAAGGGAGGTTTTAATTTGGGGTTTTTTTGGGACGAATTTGCTTTTTTTTTTTTTTTTTTTTTTTTTTTTGGAAAAAAAAAAAAAAAAAAACCCAAAAAAAATTAAAACCAAAAAAAAAAACAGCAATTTTCCCATCACATTAGAAACACAT